CTGCGTCTGCTCCATGTCGGTGCGGAGGCTCGCGATGTCGCTCGTGGTCGCATAGTTGTCGCCTTGGCCCTCCATGCCTGACATTATGCGTCCGAAAAAACCGAAACGAGGGGGAGCGAAAAACACGGAACCGGTTTTACGTACCCGAAATCGATTTTAACTGCGTCGCCCCCGCGGTTTTTTGAAGACTCGGTTTTAGCGGTCGAAAAAACTTTCGCGTGTAAACGGGCTCTGATTACCAAGTGTGAGGATCTAGGATCGAGCTCAGAAAAGAGAGTTTGAATTGAATGATCACCTGGGTACAACACGAGGCTATATATAGGCTCGACACAAGGGGCAGTAACCAGGTGTTACGCGAAGGTTCTGGGGGTCGCGAAGCGTCCCGAACAGACCCTTCCCGAATTCGGTAGAAGGCAATTCGGTGGCAACCGAATAGCCCAGAATTTGGTGTACGCAACCTAGCTCGGTGCTATAACTATAATAAAATATAGGAAAGCACCTAGCCTAGGAAATCAAGCAATTCATGCATGCATAAAATAAACCTAAGCTAGAAGTAGCATAATAAAGTAAAGGCAAGCATGCATAGCTGGCATAAGCCGTCGTACTCTCACACGTCCCCCCCTCAAAGTTGGGTGGCGTGAGATACACCCTGCTTGACAAGATAGTCCTTGAGAGCACGTTGTGCGTTGCCCATATCAGCTTCTGCAACCCAACTGTCCTCAGTGGGGTCGTATCCTCTCCAGCGTATCAGGAACTCGAGGGTCTTGCCGCCGCGGCGCCGATGAGTGAGAACGCGCTCGATCTCGTACTCTGGTTCATCCTGTACAAGAACAGGTGGTGGTGGCGGTAGCTGCCGTCCCTGGAACTGTTGGTTGGGGTCCTTGTAGGGTTTCAGTAGCTGAACATGGAAAGCATTGTGAAGCTTCCACGTATCTGGTAAGCGCAAGCGGAATGTAACTGGTGTCACCTGTGCCTCCACGAGAAATGGACCACAGAAGCGAGGCCGGAGTTTGGATGGTAGGTGAGACAGGTTCAAGTTGCGCGTGTCGAGAAGCACCTGATCTCCGACTGCTACTGAGTGATCTCGTCGCTGGCGATCGGCATACTGCTTCTGGGAGGTCTGCATCGTGGTGAGACGTCGCTGAGTCTTCTCCCATAGCTGCTGCATGGTGGTGACGAAGTCGTGTGCGGCTTGGACGTGTGCCGGTGTGGTCGGCTGCTGTGGTGTGAGTGGTTCCCGTCCGTAACACAGGAAGAAAGGGGTTTTTCCTGTGGCCGCATGCGAGGCGTTGTTGTAAGCGAACTCTAGGGTTGGTAACTGTGTATCCCAGTGGCTGATGTCGTCTTTGCAAGCTGTACGCAGTAACTGTTCAACCACCTGATTGAGTCGCTCCGTCTGTCCGTCAGTCTGGGGGTGGACATCCCGACCCCGCACTCTTATTCCTCTCAGTGGCAAACAGCTATGGACGCAGAGATGACATCTTGGAAGCCCACAGGCACCTACGTCTGTTAATAGTTGACTTGCAACCATGGCTAGAGAGAATGGTAGGATGGATTAGATTAGAAAAAAGTGTTGAAATACATTTTGAAGAAGAAAGAGAAAAACCTGATTAATCCTAAGGTGTGTTCAGTTTGGCCTGAAAACTACAAAGTGAACCAAAAATGAACGTGAAAGTGTAACTCGCTCCAAGAATGTTAGAGGTGGTGTGGAGATAACGCAGGACGCGCTTGCCAGCTGCCCAGTGCACGTCAGTATGGCGTCCGAGGTCGACAAAGCGAGAGAGAACACTAAAGGCGTATCTGTCAAATGTTGTAGCCTTTAGTGATGCGTGTCATATGGGGTACAACAGTTAGGGTTAGGTTTATGTACCCCAACCCACACGAGTCAATGATTATTTGGTTTCTGACATGGTATCACCTAGGTTAGGATCCTGTAGGATCCCGTTCCTCCCGCTAACGCCCGTAGAGCCCTACCGTTGAGCCTGTCCGTATCCTAGCGCCTGTCACGCCGAACCATCCCGTGCCCTAGCGCCCGTTGCGCCTGCCAGTCGCGTCGTGCCCGTTTGTCCAGTGGCGTCGCGTGGCCCCTGCCCGTCCCGTCCCGTCGCGTCGCGCCTGCCCGTCCCGTCTTGTCGCGTCACGCCTGTCGGTCGCGTTGCACCTATCTGTCCCGTCTCGTCGCGTCGCGCTTGCCCGTTTCGTCCCATTGCGTCATGCTTGTCCGTCCCATTCCGTCGAGTCGCGGCTGCCCGTCCCATCTCGTCGCGTCTCGCCTGCCCGTCGCGTCGCGCCCGTCCCATCCCCTCCCCTCGTGCCTCGCTGGTGTGTTCTCGGCCTAGCGTCTGCGCTGTGCATGTGACGGGGCGTGGCACACCAACCAGCCGTGCGCACCTGCGAAGCAGGTGCACCGTTGTCATGCGGGTGCAACGCTGTGCAGCCGACTTACTGCAGCGTTGGCACACCGCAAAGTTGCAACGTTGGCGCGCCGCTTCTTTGCGGCGCTGGAGCGGTGCGAGCAGTGCTGTGCTGGAACGCGGTCGATCGTGTTGCGCTGGAGGTCGACCTGCATGCTTGCTAGCTCTGATGGAGTCTTTCTTGCCAATGTTGCAATCTTTATGAACTCTTGCCAAATTTCCCCGTGAATGTGCACGTAGAGTGAACACAAGCAAATGACTAGGTAACGAACGCTACGATAACTCCTACACCGTGCCTTGCCCGTAGTCTAAGCTCCAGTTGCTATAGTTATCTCCGCCTGCACAACTCTTGCTAGCTGCCCCACTCCGAATGAAGCATCAGGTCGCGTATGCACAGCTGCATACATAACACTCCCAATGAGTGACTGGTACTCATTCTGCAGCCCATTGTGAAGATCGAGGAACTGGTTCAGAGAATGATTGATCCTCACTTGGGTACTATGAGAGGCTATATATAGGCTCGAAACAAAGGCAGTAACCCGGGTGTTACTAGAAGGTTCCGCGGGTCGCGAAGCATCCCGAACGGGTCCTTCCCGAATTCGGTAGAAGGCAATTCGGTGGCAATCGAAAAGCCTAGAATTCGGTGCACTCAACCTAGTTTGGTGCGTGTAACTATAATAGATATAGTAAAAGCAATGAACCTAGGAAATCAAGCAAAAGCATGCAAGATAAAATAAAGCTAAGCTAGATAATGCGTAATCAAGGAGAATCAAGCTAGTAAAGTCCAGCAACGCGGTCGTACTCTCACACTCATCCTCGAGCACATCATCGTCCTCAGCTGCCTTGTAGCCTGCAGAAAATGGCGTCATCATAGTGCGACCTCCAGTCACACCATAACGCTCCATCACGCCAGAGATGTAGTGTGACTGATGCATTTTCAGCCACTTCCTCTCTACATCTCGCTCAATCTGCAGCCCCAAGTAATAATGGACATCCCCAAGCATCTTGCACTTGAAGCCGTCCATAAATAGCTTTTGAGCTCTCTCAATCTGCTCCTTGGAAGGTGAGAACAACAGTATATCATCGACATACACCAGCAGCAAGAGCCGCTGCTCCCCCTCTCCGAGCAGGAACAAGCTGTGGTCAGCTTGGGATGTTTTGAAGCCTCCAGCCAGCAGCACTTCCTCGAGCTTGTCGTACCAGCACCTAGGTGCTTGCTTAAGGCCATAGATAGCCTTCTTAAGCTTGCACACCCGGCCAGTACCATCATCATAGCCGTCAGGCTGCTTCATGTAGATATCCTCCAACAGTATTCCATTGAGGAATGCAGTGGTGATATCCATCTGCTTCACATGCCATCCCTTCACAGCTGCGCCAGCCGCCAAAGTCCTCAATGTTACTTGCTTAGCCACAGGAGTAAATATCACCTTAAAGTCGATCTTTTCTTTCTGTTGAAACCCTTTGGCAACTAAACGGCTCTTGAACCGCTCCAGTGCACCATCAGCATCCGTCTTCACTTTGAAGACCCACTTGCTGCTGATGGGTCGTCGCCTTTCAAGTAGCTCAACAAGCTCCCAAGTCCCATTCTCAATGAGACTGTTGAACTCCGCATCCATGGCAGCCTTCCACTCTTCCTTCTGGGGTCCACCAAGCGCCTCCTCCAACGTGGCTGGTTCTCCAGGCAAGGGTGTGAAGAAGCAAAAAGCCATCTCTTCATCATCTCCCTCATCAGCCTGAACAGCCATGGCACCCTGTTTGGGTCCTCCTAAATGGCTATACTTTAACCTTGAAGGTGGTGCGGCCACTCTCTTCTCGCGGGTGGCAGTTTGCTGCCCAAGTAGTGAAGCTCTTTTCTACACACTCCCTTTCGTAACCTTGGCTGGTGCAGCACGAATCTGCACTTGCTCTTGCTGCTGCCAGTCCTTGTACATGATGTCATGAACAAATTTTACATCACGACTGACCAGCGTTTTCTTGCTCTTGGGGTCCCACATCAGCCACCCCTTCGAGTCAGGCGCCATCCCAAGATGGACAGCCCACACAGCAGCAACTTCCAGCTTGTGCCTCTGGTCCTTCAGCCCCACACACGCATCATGTCAATGGTTGGCTTCTTGCCAAGCCAACGCTCATACGGCACCCAGTGCTTCTCGCCAACATGCGTCAAGACTCTGTTCTAGACCGTAATGAAATGGTGGACAGCGTTAGGCCAAAACTTGTAGGGCATTCTAGCAGCCCCAACAAGGTCTTAGCCGCCTCGATAATGGTCCGGTTGGCACGCTCGGCAATGCCGTTTTGTTGTGGTGTTCCAGGGCAGGTCAGCTGGTGTCGGATGCCGTTCCTTTTAAGAAACTTGGTGAAATCAGTTCCAAGAAACTCACCATCACGGTCACTACTCAACACATTCACCACACTCATGGATTGCCGCTCCACCATCGGTAGGCAATCACTCTTTTTGGACAAGGGACAAGCCCATATGAATCGGCTCCATTCGTCCACCATGGTGAGGAAGTATAATGCTCCCCCAGTCCCCTCAGTCCGCATAGGACCTACAAGGTCCATGTGCACCACCTCCAATGGTGCCTTTGCTCATCTCTCCCACTCGCCCCCCTCCCTCTCCCACTCGCCCCCCTCCCTCTCCCACTCGCCCCCCTCCCTCTCCCACTCGCCTCCCTCCCTCTCCCATTTCCTCCCTTCCTCCTCCTCTCCTTCTCCCTCCTCCCCATCACCCCCCTCCTTTTCCCCCCCTTCCTCCCCATCACCCCCCTCCTTTTCCCCCCCTTCCTCCCCATCATCCCCCTCCCCCAACCCCGCTAGTAAATCACCCATATCAATCCCCCCTTCATCCCCCTCCCCCTCCTCCTCCTCCTCCTCCTCCTCCTCCTCCTCCCCTCCATCCAACACCCCTTCCAAATCAATCACATTCCCATCTTCGTTATAACCACATCCGAAAGAATCACCCTCCGCTCTCCTCTCTACCCCACTCCCCTCTCCTCTCCTCCCTTCCAACCCCAAACCACCCTCCCAATCCTCCCCGCGAACCCTAAAAGAGGGTAAACCCAGTAATCCCCCCATTCCAGGTGCCACATCCCCTAGCTCTGGCCGCTGCAGCAGCAGCGCGGCAGGGTCTGGAGTGGCATCGTCAGCCTTCATACGCGCTATAGCCTCCTCCACTGGATTGACTAGAACTACCATCGGGAGAGGGAAGGGGAGAGGGGGAGGGTCTGAAGAGGAAACAGCGATGGGGATGTTGGGGATGCTAGACGCTGCTGTCACTGGTGCTGCCGCTGGTGCTGTCGCTGGTGCTGTCGCTGGTGCTGCCGCTGGTGCTGCCGCTGGCGCTGCCGCTGGTGCTGCCGCTGGTGCTGCTGCTGGTGTTGCGCCTGCTGCTGTTGCTGCTGCTGCTGGTGCTGCTACAGGTGCAGGTGCAGACACTGCTGATGGTTCCGACGGTCGTGCTGCTGTTGCTGCGCCTACTAGTTTCTGGGAAGGAGTTACTAAGGACTGCTGCCGCGTGTTGCCCTGCTGTTGAAACGGGACCGCGGCTCCGTTATTAGCTGCTCCGTTAATTGGCGAAGCTTCGGGATGCTGTCCTGCACCGTTTATACGCGATATGCAGCACCCCATGGCTGCTTATTGGGGTGACAACGCACTCCGCTGGTTCAAGCCTTCCCTTTACCGTTTCAACGCGGCTCGATCATAGACTCGCTACAACATCTCTCTCGTTAAAGATCTAATTTCACTGGCAAGTTACATAACAACTGAAGGCCCCTAGAGTCGTAACTCTGGAAAATACAGTTTCTGACAGCGAAGGTTGGGCAGCATATGGAATCATTAGATACACCCGCTAGTAGGACAATGCTAACGAGTTTTCAGGACCCCAGGACTGAATGTATACACCTGAAAACCAAGGGTGTGCAGCATGAAAAGACTGGAGAGTGCGCTCGGTGTGAAAACAAGCGACGGTGCTCAGAATCTCACGTTTCTCACGTAAGACTATCCGTCGTCTTTTGAGCTATTAGGAGAATTAGAACCAAGTGCGAGTAAATCGATTCGCGCTTCTTTAGTAAGCATCTCAAACAGGCTCGCAGTTAATACGCGGCTCAATCGACATGGCACGCGGAAAGCGCATAACGGCTTGAGAGTGTGTGCTTATTACTGCGCCTGCCACGCCGACCACTGGTGAGCATTGCCCTGCCAGCACTGCTACCGCTGCTACTGCTACTACTGCCGTTTCTACTCCCACTCCCGCTACTCCTGCTGCTCCTGACGTGGCCAGATGCAGCCACAGGACCGTGCGCGTGAGTCCCTCACGCTCCAGCAGGCTCGTGAGTGGTACGCCAGTTGGGGCTATCGAGGTGGCCGTAGTGGTAGTCGCTCTGACGTGCGTCGTTCGGGAGCCCCTGGTAGTGGACAGGTGCAGCAGCCGTGCCCTCTTCTGGTCCAGCAGGCTCGTGAGTGGTACGCCGGTTTGAGCAGTCGGGGTGGCCGTAGTGGTAGTCGCTCTGGCGTCCGTCGTTCGGGAGGCTCAGGTAGTGGACAGGTGCAGCAGCCGTGCCCTCTTCTGGTCCAGCAGGCTCGTGAGTGGTACGCCGGTTTGAGCAGTCGGGGTGGCCGTAGTGGTAGTCGCTCTGGCGTCCGTCGTTCGGGAGGCTCCGGTAGTGGACAGGTGCAGCAGCCGTGCCCTCTTCTGCTCCAGCAGGCTCGTGAGTGGTACGCCGGTTTGAGCAGTCGGGGTGGCCGTAGTGGTAGTCGCTCTGTGAGTGAGGCAGCCGCTCTCGGTGCCAGTACGTCTGTTGCCCTCGGAGCAGGTGAGGCTACCACTCCCGGTACTCGCGTGTCTGCTACTCCAGGTGCTGGTGAGCCTACTGCTCTAGGTGCTAGTGCGTCTGCCGCTCCAGGTGCTCGCGTGTCTGCTACCCCAGGTGATGGTGAGGCTGCTGCCCTAGGTGCTAGTGCGTCTGTGCCCCCTGGTACTGAGTCGACTGCAGCACTGCACACCTTCACACTGGACTCAGGTGCTTCTCGCTCTTTCTTTCGTGACCGCACTGTCCTTGAGCCACTCGCTCGGCCAGTTGCTGTCTCTCTTGCTGACCCCTCAGGGGGTCCGGTCATTGCGACCTCCTCCACTACACTTCCGTGTCCAGCGGTTCCGTCCGGCACGCTCTCAGGTCTCTACCTCCCCTCGTTCTCTACGAACTTGGTGGCGGGCTGTGCTCTGCAGGACGGGGGTGTTCACCAGTTCACCCCTGCCTACGAGCGTGTGACACATTGCACGTGTGCTCGGACGGGCCGCCACCTGGCTACTTTCACTCGGGAGCCAGGGTCGGACCTGTACACACTGACCACTGAGTCCCCTCAGGTGGCTGCGTCTGCGTCTGCGTCTGCGTCAGGTCAGCTGTCCGCCCCCTGCTCATGTCGCTCTCTGGCGCATGAGACTGTCCTCTGGCACCACCGCCTTGGTCACCCGTCTGTGCAGCGCCTTCGGGCCATGCACAAACGGGACCTTGTTGCTGGTCTTCCCAGGGTGCTCCCTCCCCTTCCCGACTCCCCTGCTCCTGACTGCATTCCCTGTGTCGAGGGGCGGCAGCGCGCCGCTCCTCACTCCTCCTCCTTTCCCCCGACGACTGCTCCCTTGCAGACGCTCCACATGGACGTGTGGGGCCCAGCCCGCGTCCGTGGTCAGGGTCAGGAGAGGTACTTCCTGATAGTTGTTGACGACTACTCGCGCTACACCACGGTCTTCCCCTTGCGCGCCAAGGGTGACGTCCCTGGTGTTTTGATCCCCTGGATCAGCCGAGCCCGTCTCCAGCTAGCCAAGCGCTTTCACTCGGACTTTCCTGTCCTGCGCTTGCACTCTGACAGGGGTGGTGAGTTCGCCTCCGACCTCTTGGCAGCCTACTGTGCTGAGCACGGCATTGAGCAGTCGTTCACGCTTCCGGCCTCTCCACAGCAGAATGGGGTCGCTGAGCGCCGCATTGGCTTGGTCATGGAGGTCGCTCGTACCTCCCTGACCCATGCGGCTGCTCCCCACTTTCTGTGGCCGTTTGCGGTCCGGTACGCAGCGCATCAGCTCAACCTCTGGCCCCGCGTCTCCTTGCCGGAGACTTCCCCGACTCTACGGTGGACGGGAGAGGTTGGCGATGCGTCGCGTTTCCGGGTCTGGGGATCTCGAGCTTTTGTCCGCGACACGTCCGCGGACAAGCTCTCGCGTCGCGCTGTTCCCTGTGTCTTTCTTGGCTTTGTTCCCGACGCGCCTGGATGGCAGTTTTACCACGTCACCTCGCGCCGGGTTCTGGCCTCTCAGGACGTCACTTTTGACGAGTCCGTCCCCTTCTACCGCCTCTTCCCCTACCGCACTGCCCCGCTCCCCCCCCCGCCTCTCTTCCTCGCTCCAGGTGCTGAGGTACCAGACCCCCTCCCCCCTCAGGGTGCCGCTCCCTCAGGTGTGTCCCAGGTAGACCCGGGTGAGCCTGTCGAGGTAGCTGTTGACTCGCGTCCTGCGTCTGGGGGTGCTGAGCCTGGGAGTGCTGCGTCTGAGGGTGCGGAGCCTGGGGGTGCTGAGCCTGGAGGTGCGGAGCCTGGGGGTGCTGAGCCTGGAGGTGCGGAGCCTGGAGGTGCGGAGCCTGGAGGTGCGGAGCCTGGAGGTACTGAGCCTGGGGGTGCTGAGTCTGGACGTGCTGAGTCTGGGGGTGCTGAGTCTGGGGGTGCTGAGTCTGGGGGTGCTGAGCCTGAGCGTGCTCCACCTGGAGGAGCCCTCTCCTCCCAGCAGCTGCAGGAGAGGTACCTCGAGTACTGCCGCCTCCGGAGAGGTGCTTCTGGAGCTCGTCCCGGTACTTCCCCTCCTACCCAGGAGCTCCCCCCCATTCAGGTGATCCGCGAGTGGTACACGCGGCGCTGCAGTCTTCGTAGTGGTGCTCCTGGTGCTGCGGACCCGAGCGGTGGTGCTGTTGCTGGTGCTGAGGACCCGGACGCTGGAGCTGCTGCTGGTGCTGAGGACCCGGGGGCTGGAGCTGCTGCTGGTGCTGAGGACCCGGGCGTTGGAGCTGCTGCTGGTGCTGAGGACCCGACCGGTGGCGCTGCTGCTGGTGCTGAGGACCTGACCGGTGGCCCTGCTGCTGGTGCTGAGGACCCGGGCGTTGGAGCTGCTGCTGGTGCTGAGGACCCGACCGGTGGCGCTGCTGCTGGTGCTGAGGACTCGGGCGTTGGAGCTCCTACTGGTGCTGAGGACCCGGGCGTTGGAGCTGCTGCTGGTGCTGAGGACTCGGGCGTTGGGGCTGCCACTGGTGTCCCTGCTGCTTCTGGAGACGCTGCGCGGCCGCGACCGTACTTCGTACCGCTCCTTCAGCAGGTTCTTGGTCAGGCTCCTCCTCCTAGTCCTCCTCCCTCCGTCGAGTGTCCTCTGCCTGTCCAGCCGCAGTCACAGTTACCGCCTGCCTCGCCTCTCCCTGCTCCCTCTCCTTACGCTGGTCCCACAGGAGGTCTTACAGAGCGTCGTGAGCCTGAGTCTCGTCCTGCGTCGCCTGTTCGTACTGCTCGCACTGGTCGTCGTGTCCCACGTGAGCGTCCTCCTCCTGTCCCTGGCACTCACTACATGACTCTGCGTCCCTCCACTGCTCCGCAGCGTGTCCCGCTGCCGTCTCCTCCTGCGTCCTCTCTTCCTACTCTTCCTGACCCGGACTCTGTCTCCCGTCGTGCTGCCAGTCCCACTGTTACGCGTCTCCTCGCTACAGTTGTCACTGACCCGACCTTTGAGTCCTCTGCTGCGTCTGCTCTGGTCGCTGAGTTGGTTGACTTTGCTGCTCGCTGTCGCCTAGACTACGCTGCCAGCCTTGTCGCTAGGTCTGAGTCTGCGTCTGCCTGTCCTCCGTCCGTCGGGGGTGAGTGTGCCCTCGGCACGGACGTCCTTGAGGACAGACAGGAGGAGTTCCACTGCCTTGCTGCTGCTTTGCCCCGTCTCGTGTCCTTGCTAGTTGCCCCTGAGGGAGACCCGGATGCACCAGACATCCCGACCCCACGCTCTTACGCTGAGGCGATGGCGGGTCCCTACTCCTCTCAGTGGCAGACAGCCATGGACGCAGAGATGGCCTCCTGGAAGTCCACAGGCACCTACGTAGACGAGGTTCCCCCTCCTGGGGCGAACATCGTTAGTG